GACCAGGCCAAAGGAAAAGAGAATGGAGAGTAAGCATCTCCATGGCAAGACAGTTCAATAGCATCTAAATAAGGGATTTAGGATTCTAACTCTAGGCACCCAGGTTTGAAAATTTTGGCTTTTGTTTCTAAAGTTTTGTCTGCATGGAAGTCACTTTTTATTGGATGCAAAGTTTATTTGACTCTCCCAGAACTTAAAACTTTGGTTCTGAAAAGTATTTCAAACATGATTCTTAGGCCACTAAGTGTGCAAGCAGGGAACAAGATCCTGGGATATAGTAAGAGATAAAAACATGAAATTCAAATACAAAACATAAATGAAGGTTGGAATTGTCTTTGTTTTAGATAAAGCAAACATGGGACAGATCCTGAGGTCCTTAGCCAGTTTTTATTGAGTCCTTACTGAGGCAAAATTTCTAATGATGCCATGGAGCTGGGAACAGAGTATGTTGGCTTGGATCTAATTCACATGGCCTATATAAGCAACTCTGTAGAAAGATGTAGGTGACTGAGTTTTGGCAACTCAATAGTCTCTCTCAATGTTGAGAATAGAGCAAACTCTTAAATGTAGGTCTCTCCCTGTCACAAAACAAGTAGGGCAGAGAAGCCAAACCCTTCAATGAGAGTTTGCTTGAATAAGGGCTGATTAAAAACTCAGCTGGGACCTCAAGATTTGACCCAGTATTTGTCTCATAAAATGAGAGGAACAAGAAGACAGATCAGGTCTAATGTTGATGGAAAGCCTGTTCTCCAACTATTGCAAACAGCTCATCTTCTGGTAGAGGTTAAGCTGGGATGATGTCAAATTTAATGACTGTATTGATTAAATGCCACAAAATTTAACCAGGCCAGTAGAATACCTTGAGAGAAGGTCTAGAGATCACAAATGAATGAAATTGCAAATGCCTCCAATTTCAATAGGTGAGCCATTTTGTATGTACTTTTTATGACTTCTTGAAGAGTAGGATAAAACAAAGTTACTACATTTTTGTCTTACTGAAAGTATTCTGCATTCTTTCGGCATCAGTAATAGGGTCTTACTAAAGGCTAACATAAGATGTCACAGAGATGAGTCAATATTCTGTGTTTAGGTGCTTTACTCATTTTCCTGAATGACATGGTGGAAAACATTCAAACGCTCATTAAGTTTCCAGCCATTCCTAAACAGCAACAGGTGGTCAAGAAAAGTTTCTACAATATGTCACAGCTGGCTTCATCACATTCTTGGAAATAACTGACTGAAGTTCTGTACTCTCTGTGGCACCAGTTGATAATGAAAGGGATGAAAGATCAGGAAGCACTCCCAAAACATCCGTATGCATATAGTGAATGAGCCGAGGAATATAATTAAGAACGTCTTTATTACATTTACTGAATTCACACAAGATACTAATGTGCCTTTCAGAAGCTGCCACTCATTCAGATTGAAATCATGTTCAACCAACCTCTAAATGGCTATCTGGAAGATATACTAAATTGCTGCATTAAATAACTAATTGAATAATTGCACATTATGAAGTTGAAACTTTTCTACTGACTGATACTTATTAAAGTTGTAAGTGACTTTGGCTACTCTTTCCAAAATATCTTAATGGATCCCTTTACAAATGTACCACAACCAGCACAAGAAAGATAAGAGGCAGCTTGAAAGGTATGGTTCACTGATTGAAATGACCTTTGAGTTTACGAAGTTTACACAAAGATTGCTTTCAAACTTGTACCATAAATAGTGTACTTGATATTTACAGTTGCATACTGTGTTTCATTATACAGCCTGCCACAGTGGGCAGGTTCAGAGGAGATTAGCTGAGAAGACTTTGTAGATGAAATGACACATTTAAGGAACAGAAGAGGTTATACCTCATATTTATCACATGACAGCCATAAAACAGGAGACTGCCTAGGTGTTGTGTACTTCTCTTCTCCATCAGAGTTACAAGAATGGAAGACATTAAGTGAAGTTTTCTCAGAATCTGGTGGCACAAGAGAAAGTCTCCCCTGCCCTGCTTCTCATATGCCCTGAAGAAGCTTATGTGTATCAGTTTGTAGACTACCAGCCAATTCCAAGGGGATCTGGAACACAGTAAAACTGCCAACATGCTCCTCAGTCATCTGCATCCTTCTCCATAATGTACACTGATGTAGGCCATGTTACTGTAAATTTGATCAAAGGCAAAGTACATGTACCTTTATTGTTTCTTCATTCACTAGACTAGTTCATCCAAGATTGCTTCCTACCACTTAATGTTCTCTTGATCCTCTCTTCTGGATTCAGTTTTCCACTGATAGGTTACATAGTGCCATGCTCCCTTGAGGGTTTGGTCAATGCACTTTAAATGGCATCCAATGCTCCATAAGAATCTGTGCATTTTAGATACAATGCCAGTACCTGTCCTACCAGTGCTGCCCACCATTGAGGTGGCAATGGCTGTCTGCAGGCTCCCCAGTGAAATAACATTCGAAGGCATCTCAGACAATGCCGCACACATCCAGGCAGGCTTTTCACCACTAGGGCCCTGTTCTCTTCTATATAGATCCTTATACCATAGTATCTGAACACCTAGAGTTCAGTACCGAACTGGCTGGGAACTGAACCTGGGCTTCTCATGTGGCAGGTGTGAATTCTACACTGAACCCTGCGTTATTCCAGCATCACCCCAGAGGCTTAATGCTGGAAAATATCTATTCCACAATATCCAGAACTTCATGCTCCATCCATTTCTCACATCATTAATCTTTTGTCTCTCAAGTGGACCTATCTACCCCCCTCTTTGTGCTCCCCCCATGTCCAAAATGATAGTATGTGAAGAGACAAAAGCACAAATAAAGCCTGAAGGTGACTGCTTTCTCATAGGTTTGAAACAGCAGTATGCAAAGTGCACTAGGGAATTTTTAGTGTGGTGCAGCAGGTCCACACAGACAGTTAGTGCACGGCAGGCTGCAGCATTGTAGATTCACACCCCAGCTTGCCGCAAACTAAATGTTCAACTAGACATGCCCAAAGAGACATGTTTAAATTAGTTTTAGATTTTTTCGGGTCCAGCTGTCAGCAACAGTCACTGGAATCTTTGCAGATCACCTGTCATAGCAAACAAAGTGGTAGCCGTGTTAGTCTGTATCAGCAAAAAGAATGAGGAGTACTTGTGTTTTTTTTCTCCTGCTGATAATAGTCTCCTTAATTGATTAGTCTCGTTATAGTTGGTATGACAACACCCATTTTTTCATGTTCTCTGTGTATATATATCTTCCTATTGTATTTTCCACTGCATGCATCCGATGAAGTGGGTTTTAGCCCACGAAAGCTTATGCCCAAATAAATGTGTTAGTCTCTAAGGTGCCACAAGTACTCCTGTTTCTTTTTGTCATAGAATAGTATCAAAAACCACGAGTCAAAGGGTGCTCAAAAGAGAATTCATTATTGTGGACGGTCCCCTTAAGAAATCTAGAAAAAAAGAAAATTCCTTTCTAGGAACTGAATCTGTACTAGGAGATGAGACACTGATTTTTTCCAAAGAGCTTCATCTTTCTCCTCATTAAAATGTATATGTTGCAATGGGAACTATCTCAAAAGGGATTGTTCTGCTAGCCTCCAGAAGATGTTACTGTAACAAGATCTTCTAGCTTGGTTGCCTCATAATCTCAGGTTTTCCAGTGCCAAAACCAACTTTGATAATTGATCTTAATCTGCTGGAAGTGGCCTCCAACTTAACTATACTATGAACATACTACAAAACAAATGTTATTTCTATACTGACTTTCCAAAGTAGATAGAGATAATGACTACAAGTGTTTCTTCACATATATAAAGGTCCCATCTACACTATAAATTTAACCATTCTGAAGGATCCATTTGCAACATGATCTTTCACAACACAGTTAAACCATGGTTCTTTCTTACAGAACAGACAGGACCTAACATAATTTCTATCTCCAGGTCCTGCACCTTTCAGTATTAAGATACATAAGTCCACATTTTAAAATAAGCACACATGCTCTTGCATGTGTAAAATGCCCAATCAACTCCTCTTATAATTTTCCACAAATGAAAAATGGACACTAAATTAAAACCTTGTGGCACTTGACAACTGTCACTGAGAAAGCTACTGCAAATGTTATACACTTTGAAGGAAAGCCTGGTCCCACTGAAGTCAAAGGGAGTTTTTACTTTGATGGAGGCAGGATTTCATCCCCTGGATTCAGTGGGGAGACAATAAAAGCTCTACATCAGCTGTTCACAGGCCCATGCTGAAAATGGAATATAAGGAAATTCTAAGAGGTTTCATTGTCTGAAAGAATAACCTCTGCCATGAAAGAGAAGCAGTCCACCCAGTCAGCTCTCATTCATAACATTTAACTCTGCTCACTTTTTATAGTATAATACAGTATGAATCAAACTGAGTTCCAGTATACTTGGCAGCAACTCCCAATGCAACATTTATGCCAGGGCTGAACTGACTGCATGTCTTTTATAATAATTTGCCTAAAGATAACAGGCAGACTGGAAGTCAGCAGATAAACCAGTTATTGGTCCACAGATTGTCTGACTGCTTAATGGTAATATTGGATAAAGTCTTCTTATTCAAATATTTTGACTTGTCAGTGGAAATTACTAATAAGCAATGAGAGCAGAGACCATTTTTCTCATAGCTGGTTCTCCACAATTTGTGAATAATGAAGACAGTTCTCTGGCTGTTAGCTTTGCAGGTTCTGTTGACTATTGTTACTGGCAAATACTCATTAAACTGCAAACCAAACATTGATGACAAGCTTCCTGAAATAAATAAAAATTTAAAAAAAGACATTTTTAAAGTAGTTCAGTTTTTTTTTCCAAAGTAAGGTGACATTTTACTGCACATTAAAGTGTAAGGCATATTTTTCATTCATTCATATAGAGATGATCAATTTTCTGTGTGATGCCTTCGTGTAACAAAATCCATTTTAAAATAAAAAATGTTTAGGAAGATGTAAGTACCACTACACAGATATTATGGTTGTATTTACCTTTATCCCAGGGAGTCCAGGAAGCCCAGGAAGACCTGGTTCACCCTACACAGGAAAATCACATAACATTACAGAACAATATTCATTTATGAGTGGTATCCAGAAAACAACCAGGTATACACTGTAGTAGGTATAGTAGGAGATCACATACTCTATATGTGATTGCTATTCATTGTAGGGATCACAGATACTGAGGCCAACACAATGTACATTAAAGGGCTTGCTAACCTAGAAGTATAACTAAAATGTTTAAACTGAATGCCTAAATTTAGTCTTCTAAATCTACATTTAAGGACCTAAACATTTCCTGTGGATTTAGGAGCTTAACTAGACACACAGGTTGAAAACTCTGGCCAGTATTTTTATCAAAAGGATAGGGAATAAATAGTATTAATTAAATAATATGAATACTGATGTTTACTGCATTTGCAATAATTCTGCGAATCTGCAATTGCAGATATTTAATTCTATCCCCTATTCAGTTATTGGCTGTATAGGGTGCAACTGTCCAGGTTAGCTACAAATGTGACTAAAAAAAATTATTTAATTTGTACATTTTCAGGGGGATTACTCAATTACAATTAACTATCATTTTTATAGAACCATCAACACTGTCCACATTTCAGTGTAAATGCACATACACGTACACATCTACAACACCACAAAGTACCATAAGCAAATAAACTAGAACTACTTCTTCTAAAAAATACCCTGATTATTTAGCACTGCAATAAAAAAGAACAAAATACTCTACTTTCAAGAAGAAAATGTGTAACAGGAATTGAAGACTGAACACATTCATTCTGGAATTAAGTTGATATTTTTCTATGGGAGAGAAGGACAAGCACAACATTTACACACATAAAATCATCTTAAGATGTTAGTTGAAATGGTGCTGAAACTATGTCCTCGTAGGAGAAGGAAAACGATAAACATCAAAATCAAAGAGCTTTAGGAATATAATGGATGTAATAATTTTGATTTCAAGGACAAAACGATTAGACAGACAGTAGATTTCCGGTTATCATAGAGATGGACCTGAACCAAAGCCCAGGATCTGAACATCGCTGAACTATAGGGAAGATCAGGTCCAAACTTTGTAGCTGGTCCCTCCGTCTATAAATGGTTGAACTAAACTCTAGATTCATCCATTCCTGAACTTTACAGAAATCCAGATCTCAGTGTTGTCGTTTGGGCCAGTGCCTGGAGATTACAAGCACACACAAATTCCTCATCTTACATAACAAATTGCACTATATTTTTAGGTGATAATATTAAAACATACTTGAAGAACTTCTAGCAAATTTACAATCTGCCACAACAAAACCAAAAAAAGAATAGTTGATTTGAAAATTGATTTGCCAAACTAAAGAATTCTTAAACATTTTAGGAGGATCCAAAACCAGCTTCCTTGTAGATTTCAGTCATTCCAGAATTTTAACAAATCTTTCTGACTGAAGCTACTGAAAAAGACAATCCACTTTGGAAATTTTAAATGTGAAATACAATAAAGAAATGGAGGACAGGATATCATTTTCAGCAGATTCTATTAGCAGTTGATACACTGCCTACCATTGTCTAACAGAAACTGGGCCATTACTCCTGTCTAAAGAGTAATTCTCTGAACAGGATGTATTATATTCAGTCTTAATATAGTATTAACCCAAAAGTTCTACTCCATCTTTTTTTTTCTTGCATGAAGAGTCAGATATGCTAGTGAAACAAAGATATTAATATTGTAATCTGTCAATTACTGTCATTGAAGTGGATGTGACTTTTTCTCCTGTTTTAAAATAAGTAAAATTCACTTCTAATATAAATGTTTAATCATTATAATGAATAGATCTTTTATTATTATTTTAATTTGTATTGCCATGGCTTGCACAGTCCATAATCAGGGCTCAGGCCCTCACTGTACTAGGCACTTCACACATATAACAAAAAGACAGTCCCTGCCTTGGAGAACTCTAATTCTAAGTAATCTAATCATAGAATATCAGGGTTGGAGGGGACCTCAGGAGGTCATCTAGTCCAACCCCCTGCTCAAAGCAGGACCAAAACGCAGAGAGTTTTTTACCCCAGTTCCCTAAATGGCCCCTCAAGGATTGAACTCACAACCCTGGGTTTAGCAGGCCAATGCTCAAACCACTGAGCTACCCCTCCCCCACTAACTAAAGTGATTAAAATGTACTCTTTAAGGCAAGATTAAAAACACATTCCAATTACTAGTGTTCTATTATGAAGTTCATTGAAGTTGAATGGACAGTATTTCCATTCTTTAACTTTTTTTCAAAATATAAGGTTGATATGATTTATGAGATTAAATGACTCCAAGGACAAACAAAAGCTGAATACAAACTCCAGTCTATCAAACTAAAGCAGTCAAATAAGTTGTTATAGAACATATATAATATACGTGGGCTACATCTATAATGTATATGGCACACCTATCCTTTTTTCATACATTCACACAGAGACGTATTTCATTCAGACATACACAAAAATATCCTCACATATGAATCAATACATGAATAAATGCATAACATGGACCAAAACTTGATGTCTTCGCTCTGTCCTTTTTATTATTTTATGGTGCACAATGGGAGTTTTTCTTGAGTAAAGACTAAGGCTCCAATTCTACATTGAGATCTAGAACTTCAGTGGGTCTCCACACATATCTACTCTAGTGAATACTAATGGAAGCTCAAATTCTTGGCATTTAATCAGAGAAAACTCCCATTGAGTGCTGTAAAAACAGATGTACATTCCGAAGGTGTCCTCATAAGAGGAAAGAACAAAAGTCTGGGAAATTGACATTTGCACAGTTTATGCCTATATAAACGTTTCTCATTGCTAGTTTTTGTGTGTGTCTTCGTTATATTTACACTCAAATAGTGAATCTCATTTAAAGAGTGATATGTAAATATAGATGAATATGTATTTATCCATTAATCTGTACGTGTATGTATAAGAATGGTCAAACTCTCATTCCATACTTATTATTTATTCAAGAAAAGCTCACATTGTCTGCAATGGGAGTTTTGCCTGAGTAAGAACTATAGGATTTAGCCCATATTCTCTATTCACTGGGAAGTAAAAATATAAGGCAAAATTACCCTCTGAGCCACAATACAGGTCTTTTATTCACTGCAGTTCAGACCTCTATTGCACATTCTGCACTTGTTCTATATATTGAACTCAGACTGGTGTGAGTTGGAGTTCCATGTAGGATGGATTACAGACTACACAACAGAGATCTGCACTGCAGTGGATAAAAAAACCTTTACTGTGGATCAGAAAGAAGAATTTTTCTCACAGGGTAAAATTTTTAAAGACCAGAAGCAGAAGTCCACATGTGTGCATTTGTGCAAGAAACTGGTTAATTGTTCATGCAAACAGATATTTTATGAGCAATAACCTGTTTGTTTTGCACATTCAGTTGACAGATATGTTCATGTAAACACAAGCAATTATGAACCTCAGCATCTACTCATTAAAACTTTGGCCCATCTTATTTCAGTGAGATACTGTTTTTATGTACAGTATTATCTTCACATCCATTTATTAGTATTACATTTAGAGTGATCTCGCAGAGAACATATTTTTGCCTCCAGATTGTAAGGTTTGAAAAATATATATACATATATATATATAGATGTGTGTGTGTGTGTGTGGGTGTGTATAAACACACACACACACACATATATAATGAAGGGAAACATATGGGCTAGGTGGCACAATGCATAAATCCACAAGCCCTTTGCCTCTGAAGTACTGAGTTCAAATACGATTTACAGTAGATCACAAGTAAAATACGTTCTGTGGTTTCAAAGTAGCCACTAGACCACATCACAAAACAATCACTCACTTTAGTCTGACTGGCAATATATGCTCAAGTGTGGCCTGATGCTGAAACTGGACAGTGTATTGTAGGTCAAGGCTGAGGTGCATTGGAAGGGCAGTGTAAGAAAATGTGCACAGTCCCTTCTGGTACAGCAAGGTGCTGAAGACCTCAGTACCTTTAAGGATCATGCTCCAATTCATTCGTAAGTTTAAAAAAAGAGAACTATAAAATGCAGAGAGCGAATGAGTATTCAAAATATCCTGGGCAATGTAAATGTTTGAGACAAAAGCCTGGCACTTTCTTTCTATTACATCATATGCAATCACACAAACACAAACTCATCATCTTATAAAACTCTAAATGAATGTGGAGTTCACGGCTACTGGTTATTTATCTATATTACATCTATTATATCAAACCTGATTGTATTGGGCAGTGAGATCAATAGCTTGCTAATAAATCACTGCTAGTTGTTCCCTGCCTGGCAGACAGCAAATGAGAGTACGAAACTAACCATTTAAAGTACATTCTGTAGTTTATTATCCAAGTAGAACATACAGTACATGATGCACAATGATTCCAGAGGTTAGCTAGTTAAAACTGCTTTCACTGGCTTTCCTACTTGAAACTGAGCTTTACTAACAAATTTAATTTGCATATCATAATAGTCATATACAGTCTGTTACAAATCATTATGATTAAAATCTGCCAAGTAGAGAAACTCAGCTGCAATTTTTTCTTTTACTGATTTAAAAAAATGGTTTCTCAGAGTTCCATATGGCCATAAAAAGGAATTGAGTTTTAGAATATAGCTGGCCTGATATTCCCTACATACAGTATATGATTTTACTTCTCCCCTAACCTGAGTACTGGAAAATCTCCAAAGTGTACCTTACGGAATACATTTCCAGTTCTCCTGTTGGGATAGGGGAAAGGTTTCTGACTTTACAAGAGGTGGGGGATGGTGAAGGGTTGTTCCCAGGAAACCCTGTAGACTTCAGAGGGAAGCAAAACTGCTACCCCACACATCCCAGGATTGTAGTTTTAAAATCCAACCTCTCCTTGGTGTTGCGCCAGCACCTTCAGGCTCCTTGAGGAGACACACAGTCACTAGCTTGCCCATCTGTGCCTGCATCCTATTCTATCCTCTGAAAAAGGGTCAAAGATACGGAGGAGGCAGGCAATGCTGGTTGGTGCACCAATGACTTCCTATTGGCAATTTCCTAGGCCAAGAGGGCAGCATGCCATATTGAGCAGCTGCTCCCCTGCTACATCTCCTCCCAACCAAGGAAGCTCTGGCTGCACAGTGTCCAGTGGAAAGGCTTCTCTGGAAGGTGTGTGTGTGTGTGGGGGGGGGTAGCACATAGTGGAGCTACTTGCTCCTAACTTTTCAATGCTTGTGTCCGCTTCCACCAGTTTAGCTCCTCACTAGCAGCACAAGTGAGAGAGAACATCCAGCCCTAGAGTCAATATTTATTTCATCTTAACGAGGTGTAATAACATACTATAATCTGCAGGTCAATATTTAGTCAAACATGCAAGGGTGAGTTGTCAACATTCAAACACCAGAGCCATTCTTTGTTAGTTTCAGGCAGCTGAGATAGTGCAAACTTTCAATGTGGAAAAAAGTGCCCTGTAGTTCTAAGACTGGGTGGGTTATTCTAATTTTCACTTTTCACTCTAGCCAGTGTCATTCTTATTATAGCTTTTTTCAAAACTCAAAATGAGCATAAACAAAATGTGTACAGACCTTGAGCAATCAGTTAAATTGCACTATCTTGCAATCATTGCTATTGCCAAACAAGCAATTTATGTGCAAGAGGGAAGCTCCAGTACTAATATTTTGTATAAACAAGATTTGATGGCAAGTCTAATCATGAGGAAAAAAGGGACTGAATGCTATCGTGTATTACCTTTTGTCCTGGCCGACCAGATTCTCCAGGTTCTCCCTAATTGAAACATTAAATAAACAAACAAATAAACAAACACAAGATCAGAGAAAGTGAAAAAATATCAGGGTTAGAAAAGAGGAGAAAAGAGTAATAAAATGATTTGTGGCATAAAGTGACAGGGATTCTGCAAAAAATGACCACTATGAACACGACATTACCTTAATTCCTGCAGCAGAAGATCCAGGATCACCCTGATATAAAATTCACAAGGAAACAATGATTACACTTATTATGTACATATATTTTCAGGAAACTGATAAAACAAACACAGGCATGATTATCCTGGAACCTTCTCAAAGTACCTCTCAATTACTGTAGCAAGCTTAAATATGTCTTGTGACACTGCATACCAATTTGACCATTGACAATATGTCAGTATTATTCAAAGAGAAACAATTCTGCATTCAAAGACACATTCGAAATTATTTGCCATATCAAAGGGCATCACTGATCCCTTTGGTCCATATCTACAGATGGCAAGTGTCAGGCCTTAATTGACAAAGCTTTTGTGTTAATGACATTCAACTTCAAAGAACCCAGTGACCCATTAGTTTATCTTAATCAAACCTTGTCAGAGTATCCATCTCTTTTCCATAGATGGTCACTGTTTTTATCTTGGTGCTTTAATGCAGGTAAATGTTGTAAGTAACAGAATGTCTGAGGAGCTGTAATTTAGCTGTAAAAAGGTCAGTTCTGATGAAGCAACTAACTTGCAAAGAGGTTCTCCTGCGTTTTGCTCAGCTTTCAGCTGAGTTGACCGGGTTTGATAGGAGGTGACTTGCCCAAGGTCACAGAATCAGTCAGTGGCTAAGGCAGAGTGCTTCTGGCTCTCAGTTCTTTGCTCTATGTTTATAGCCTTCGTAGACTTCTGAAAATTCTTGTATTTTCATTTCAATTCACCTTGTCTTGAATGGAATGCCAAAGGAAAGTGGAGGAAGCTAAATTATTAAATGCTATTTCTCAACTGAAAAGTTTTGCTAGTCATCTTATTCATGTAAATAGGTCAAACCTGTACAAAGTATAGAAATTGTCTATAGCACCTGTATTTGGACAGTTTCCTTATTATTATTATTATGAATTATGATTTATTATGAAAATTAAGATCATTGTGCAATAAGTTTACTTTGTGTCTCAAAGCAGCATGCTACTGATGCACATACTGAGTAAAATAGCTAATACATGTAACATACTTTGAAGATGTTAAACACAGTATAAATGCTAAGGATTATTATTATAGTCTTGCACTATATAAAACAATAAAATTTAAACTACTAGTATAAAAACACTAGTTTTTGATTAGCTGTCCTGTGGTTCAGTAAAGCTGAATGAAGAGCTGTGGTGATTTATATTTTAAAAGCCTGGTTTCCTTTTCATAGTTATTGTAGCTCTCTCTTCAGAGGGCAAAGAGAAAACAAAAGGCCATTTTCTGAAAGGCTGATTCATGTCTGGAAACCTGAGCTGTCTCATTTTGATAGACATGTATGAGTGATATTGCTGTTGTCCCTCACAGCACGTACAACTGTGAAATCTCAAGGACTTTTTAATAGCTATAAAGTGGCAAAGCAACTGCTGAGAGACAGTCACAAGTTACACATTTTAAGGGATAACATTGGAAATAGCACAGATAAGACACAAAGTGTTTATAATCCACTTTCATTCAAGAATGAAAACTAATACAGGATAAAAGTAAAAACTATATAGCTAGAGCATGTTCTCAGTCCCTCACTGAGTCAACTGGATTGGAAATGAAAGAATTTCAGCAGGAGAAAACACGAATGGAAAAGTACTTCAAGGGATTTTGGCTGCTTGACAGGCCAATGGCTAGAGCAGGAGAATAGAAGCAAGGACTAATGAGTGGGTTCCATTCCCAAGTCTGCCACTGACTCTGTATGTGACCTAAGAACTCACTGATGCCAACATTGTCAAACTTGGATGTCTAAATATATGCACCTAGGTCCATGTTTATGTATTAAGATCAATGGGAGCTGCAGATGTGCGTCATCTGTGAAAATGACACTACTTTCATTTAGGTGCATAAATATGGGCGTGTGTTCCTAACTTTAGGCACCGTTATTTGAAATTGTTATCTCTTCACCTCTCTGTCTCAGTATCCCCGTATATAAAATGGGGATAAATAATACTTACCCATGTCACAGGAATATTGTGAGTCTTAATGTTTGAGATCTTTGGATGAAGATACACCTCTACCCCGATATAATTCTGTCCTCGGGAGCCAAAAAATCTTACCGCGTTATAGATGAAACCATGTTATATCGAACTTGCTTTGATTCGCCGGAGCACACAGCCCCGCCCCCCCAGAGCACTGCTTTACCACGTTATATCTGAATTTGAGTTATATTGGGTCACGTTATTTTGGGGTAAAGGTGTACTATATAACTGCTCATTATTATTATTGTTATTTTTTTATTTACTGCAATGGTTTATGTATTGTTCATTCAGACATAATTTATGGAGGTTTACTGTATGGAGGCATGGACAAAGGGAGAGGACTGGGTAAACTGGCTCTAACCTTATTTCATCTCTGAACCTTATTTTTGGTTCAGATTAGTCTTGATAAATCATTTCAGCACATCCAAAACTTCCGTGGTTCCCTCTTTCCTCAGGCTCAAAGATCCCTCCCCATACTAGCTTGAAAAATGAGTCTCAGTAAGTCTGTAAGCCTCACTGCAGCTCTTCAGCTCAAGTACTGCTTCAATGCTTTGCCCAAGTGATGTCCTAGTGTGCATCACATATTTCAGAAGCCCAAGAGTCATCCAAATATCCCATGTTCCGAGCCTTCTGAGGCACATGGTGCATCCGGGATTAGAAAGAGCATGGATAACTTTGACCAACACCCAATGTTAATGGTGCAGCAGCAAGGACAGTAGAGAGATTTGCTGGAACACAGTGCCAACTGCTTCTATCAGGGCAGGGGGAAAAGGAGAGGATTTCCCATACCCCCACAAATGGCTAGAGGAGTGTGTGAAAGGCTTCTCATGGCACTACCCAAAGATCCTGAAACTATGTTGGAAGAGAAAGCCACAGAGCTCCCGCCTGTCTCCTGAAGACGATCCTGCCATTGATGGGGAGAAGTGACCGATGGATCAAGAAAGGGAAGGAAAACAAGAGCTATTTGGTGAGTATGCTACTGTTGGCTGTTCCTGTTAGGGGGCAGCAGTCGTCATGATTTTTTTCCTCTGCAACCAACACGATTAACAACCACTGGGCTAAATTAATCTCTGATATAAGTATGACGACTGTCATGGATAGTGCAGGTCACTGGAGCACTGGCCACAGAAGCACTGCTCCTAACTACATTGGTGTAAATGTAGAGTAATTACTCTGACTTCAAGGCTTACTCACTCCTAAACCTCCACAGCAAAAATATATTCTCCTAAGCTTCTTACCAATCAGACCTCCATTGCAGAGTCACTCTGCAGGACATAATCAGAGAAGTTCTGTGGCCTTCTCCTATACATTCACAGATCCATGGGAAGACCAACTCCCTTTTAATTCTGAGTGGCAGATCTTTTTGTTGGAAAAGCGAGAAGGAAACCGATTAAAGGTAACTATGCCAAACCAGGAGATCTATCATGTAGCGACTAGCCTGATGCCGAGAAAGTAATGAGACCTGTACAAACACTATCTATCCATCCCTATTTCACCCCAGGACTCCAGACAGTTACATGGAACTTGGAAGTGGTGGAAGCATTATATGTTTCAGAGGTTCAGTGAATTCAGTTAGTTTTTCAGATGAACATCCAAAAGCCCATCTGCTGACCTATCTTTTCTAAAAGTTATTCCCAACTAGAATACCAAACCATTTGAGGTCCACAAAGAAACACACACAGTGTCTGGCTTTGGAAGGATAAATTCCCAACGGAAAGAGGAAGAGATTTTTTTAGAACACGTGTTTTCACTAGGATGCATGCCAAGTACTTCAGTAGCAGACACAATTGAAGAAAAATTACTGAAGCTTCATAGGGCTCCCAGGAGAGATTCTGAACTTCTATTTTATCTGCTGCTGGACCTTAATATTGTTTCCTGAACATATACATGACCTATTCATCTGATCTACTGTTCCAATGATTTGTCTAAGCATGATATTCTCAGGACATAAAAAATGTCTCTAGACACGCAACTAGGTCTCTCAGGAAAATAGTTATGAAATCAAACTGCATATATTTTTGAGTAAAGAATAATAATCTAAATATCCAAAGACAGATAGTAATGATTTCTGGCCACTAGAGACCAGACATGCCAACCGTGTTAAAAAAATGCAGAAACTGGGCTTGTTTTTGGCTTAATTGGCTTGTGAGATGCTTGTTGGCTAGTTTTTAGTTTGTAGTTTCTTTTTTTTTATCTGCTCCCATAAAGCAGGGGCAAGGGGCAAGCAGAGGCAAGGGGAGGAGAGAGTCAGGGGTGCACAGCGGGCCCACCACAGTCCCAGACTGCACGCTGGGGGGATATAATCACATAAAGTGTTGGAGTTCTAGGGACTGGCTTGTTTTGAAATGGATTAGCTTGATTTTGGGCTTATTGTGGAGGTCAGGGTGCTTATTTACCTTGTGAAAGTTGGCAACTGTGCTAGAGATATGGACTGGATTTGAATCCATTACCTGCAGGTATGATTCTCTATTTTTCCCATTCCTCTTAAACCATAAAATCTGTCAATGGTAACAATCTCAACTTCCCCTTTCTTAGTCAGAGTGCACATGATATATAAAATCACCTATTCTTTGGAGACTTCTAAAATATGGTACCTGAGGAGACGGAGCTGACATAAAGGCATGGAAGCCAGATCTTTAGTTGGTGTGAAATGACAAAGATCTGAAACATAATTTTTAACTTCCACTCTGAATTTCCAAACTTTTGGGGGTTTTGGTCAGCCACTTGGATTATGTTTCCAACACTGCATGCCACATTGCCTTGGCCCTTCCTTTGGAAAAGAATGTAAAAGGGGATCAGTTTCCCCTTACAGAATTTTCTTTTCCTATCCAGTCAGGGGGCAGCATTCCTCACCCTGAAAAAGGAAAGGGTTGGTCCTCTCAGAACCCCCAGATCTCCTGAGATCCTTACTAATCTCAGGGATCTATTGGAGACACTGGGTCTCTGTATGGGGGTGCTGTGCCTTGGCAGATCTCCCTTAGCTTCAGCTCTCTAGCAGTGTGATTAAGTGGATCTACCTGGAATGTAAAGAGGCATGTTGTGGGAGGGAGCTGGGGACTGAAGTACCATCCATAGGGAGACCTAGCTGCTGCTCCATGTCCTGGTTGTAGAATTCTTCCCTCTTAGTCTCAGAGGAACTCCCCAGTGCACATCCTGAGTACTCAGGCGGTACGCTGCAGCTAGAATTTTGGACCCAGATTTTTAAAGGTATTTAGATGTTGCTGCCTAATTATTATTGACTGTTGATACGATTTTGGTTCCTAAGTGTCTTAATGCCTTTTGAAAATAAGATTTATGTTCTTACACCAATTGGGCATTGCATTGCTGAACGCAGCAACGCCTTTGGCCTTAATACTCAAAACTTGCATCATTTACCAAACAGACATAACAAGAATATCTGATAGCTTGTGACCCAAGCTTCTGTGTGATGCATATTTAGAGGTTTATAAAAGATGCACTGTCAGGCCTCATGTTTTAACTACCGTAGAATAAGCAGGCCCTCTGTAATTAATTAGAACTGATGAATTTCTGCTGTTTGTGAGAATGAGTCAGACCATTAAACCTTTTAAAAAGTCTCTTTGTATATTTTCCTTTTGGTACCATCCCCCTTTCATTTTCTGGTTAGATTTTATGGCCTTAAATCTCTACTCATTAACAGATGTACCTTTTCACCCATGTCACCTTTGGATCCGTTTTCTCCAGCATCACCCTAAAATTAAAAAAATATATATTTCCAGTACTGAGTTTTGCAATTTTTAAAATAATTCTCATGCATTCACAAAGTATCCAGAAATAATTTGCAATTTGCAAACACTATTACAGTTTTAATTCACTAGCCAGAGTCTATAAGAAATGACCAAATTAATAAATAATTTATACCTTACCACATTGTCTCTCAAATAAATGTAATAAAACATTTACAACATGAACTCAGAGCCTTGATTCAACTTAAATCCACAGGAGGAGAAAAACATGATTTGATATATTTCATTTGGATTTGCAGTCTGAAATATAACTTACACAACTCTTATATTTGATCACTGATAGGAAAGATATTTCAAAGTTATAAACCTCTTCACAGTTCCTTGAGAAAATACAAACTGTCATGTCATTTCATCTTTTTGTCAATTTAGACTACAGACATCCCCAGTTCATTCTGGTTCAGTGATAAAGGAATGATTTTATGATGATTCAGCATTAGGAATAGCCAGTAAATATTTTTCACCACAAAGACATTAATAGACACATCTGATCAAACGGAGTTGGTCATTACTGGCTTCCAATATATTTTTATTGTGATTCTGAAGCGATTCAGGATATGCTCTTTGAATTTCAAGTATTTCCCCACAAATCAGTGTGAAGCTAGCAAAACTTAACTAAAACATAGAATAAGCTACCAAAACCATTCATGTCTCCATGTAAATGCTAAACATTATTCAAAGAGGTAATGTTGAAGTAACACTCTTGTCATTGCCTGGGAGAAAACATCCCTATTTAAAAATTGTTGATAGCTTTTTAAAGGAAATATTTTAAAAGCTTCACCTGTACAGAAAGGGCGGAATCCTAATTTACACCAACTCACCCACTTCCAGAGAAGCGTAAAAGGGCCTTAATGTAAAGGAGAATCAGGCCCAAAGGCTTTTGCAGGTTTCTGAGTTCTTGAAAGGAACAAGAGAGGGTTTTTTTTTTAAATATTTTTTCATCAACTAAAATTTGTTGATAACTATGATCTACAAATGGACCAAAGAGTGTACCAGTGAACCCATGTCAAACACAAGGAATTCTTATACAAGTAATGGGTGGCTGTCATTTATAAAATATTTGTTAAGGAATTCTCATTGCTTTGGAAACCATTTTGGAAATTTTCCTGACTAGGATCATTAAAAAAGTTGCAAAAAAAAAATAAAACTTTTTAAAAAAGATATGGCCCAATCCTGGCCTCCCACCCCACCTGCTTATGTAGCTAGTTGGGGATGATTCTCTATGCCATTTCCCTCCTGGCCCCAGTATAAGGTGCATTTCAGGATTGTCCTGAGTGCTGGATGGCATGTAGCCAGAGAAATTTACTCCTTGACCAGCCCCATTGTTTTCAATCTATTGCGCTGCTTCAGGAGCAGTAAAAGGAGGCTTGGTTCTATAAGCCTTACTGACGGTGAGTAGCACTTTCTCATATGATTAGTTCTGTTAGAATTCTGCTCTGATAGGACAGAATCAGACCCATAGTTATAGTATGGTGGGGATGATTCTGATCTGTGATATCATACTGGTGTAACTCCATTGATTTCTATGGAGTTGTTCCTCACTGATACCAATCCAAGTGAGAACAAGTAGAGCATTTGTGTTCCTGCCCTTTTTCATGCAGACTAAAGTCTGAGATGGATGGGCCAGATTCTCTCACCCTTCTTCAAGTAGAGCTGGGCTGCAACAGAGAACTCAACATGAATAAAATGAGATATCACTGTGCTATCGGACTGCCTTTCTAAGAAACTACTGCCCACAGACACCCACAACACCAAGTAATGTAAACCGGTTTGCTTTTCTGTTTATTCATAGCAGGAACATTTTTTAAAAAAATTCTATAGTATCAGAGCCCACCTGTGCAGCCCTAACACATATTAGTGAGCACATACAGTACTAACATGAGTAGTTTCACTAAGTCAATGAATTGCTTGCATGAGTAAGTGCTACTTAGCCCGAATAAAGGGTTCCCCAACAGGGTTCACAGTTTTGTCAATTCAGCGACTGAATTCTAGTTAATAATTTTTAACACAGCAGGTTGTTTTTTTAACAGATCAGTCCTCACTGCTGCCTGTGCATTCCCAATTCTTCAAAACAAGATAAACATAGGGAAAGTGAAATATACCTCACCTTTTCTCCTCGTTCTCCAGGGTCACCCTGATCAAAAGAGTAGGAACAAAGAAATCTTGATGTTATTAAGATGGTGTCATTAGATAACTCAACAGAAGAGACATTAGATAATATATTTAATGCAAGACACTGTGGAGCAGCTGTTTTTCATTTAATATTACAGATTATTCAATAGAAGAAGCCATGTCAGAAAGGATTCAATACTAAAATCTGATGGGCTGCACCAATACTTTACACACAGTGAAAAAGGCTGGTCAGTTGTGTGGAAGGCTCATTTTGGTTTTTCACTCTGGGATTAAGGGAGGCAAGGAACAACTTCATGGCTCTGTGAAGCTACCCATCAGGACCAAAAGGAACCAGGGGGAGATGTGCCAAGCCCACCTTATTCTGGATGGACTCAGGGAGAGAAGAAAATGAAAAAGAGGGTGGTCCTAAGGTTTGGAGAGGAGTTTGGAGGACACTTAATGAGAAATGGAAACCCCTTAAATATCTTGTCTAGATTCATAATCTGGTAGAGAGCAAAAAATTCTCCCAGAATTCTATATTAAAAAAGACAGTTTTAGCCATTACTTTTTAATTACATTTTGTTTGAGAAGCCAGTACAATGGCAAATCCCCTTTCGTACACTGAATCTGGTCCTGGCAACTCATCTCTGTATTTTTGACCATTCTAGCTTATCCACACCCTTTTTGATGGTGGATGGTTGCTTGGCAACTCAAAGAATACTGCTGTGAATATGAATTAAGCAATAACTGCAATCACTTTGCATTCACTGCATATAAAACAAGAAAAGGGTATGCCCCTAAATGGCTTGTTTTCTTTCCTGATGGACAAGGGGCAAGTCAGTACATTTTAAAGACTGTCCTGGCTAGCTGTCAATAGCAATGTGATCTGTAAAATCAGCTGAGAGGCATATGTGCCCTCACAGACACACAGACACAGCTGATGGGATTAGAAATTGGTATCTTTTCTGCGAGGCCCAACAATCAAAGCATTTTGGATGTGTCTGACTTTTATTCAAACAAAGTTATCAAGTTTTGTGTGTTCAATTTCATCTGTTCGGAATCAAGTAAAGAATAACAATCATCAAAACAAATAAATGGAAGGCAACATTTTCTTTTTGCCATAACTATGGACTGAAACTAGGGTGATCAGATGTCCCGATTTTATAGGGACAGTCCTGATATTTGGGACTTTAACTTATATAGGTGCCTATTACCCCCACCCCCTGTCCCGATTTTTCACACTTGGTGTCTGGTCACTCTAACTCAAACCTTCTCCCACTGAAGTTTGCTGTTAACTTCCAAAGAAGCAGGATCAGACCTCAAGATTTAACTCTGACATTCAAAGAATTGACCGCAGTAGTTCTTGAAAAGGGGTCTGAAACGCATTATGAGGAGCATAAACAACACCATGTAAACAAGTTTCCAAATTCCCAAACGCTTGCATCATATTTGCCTTGCAGTGTAAGTACACTCGTCACTAATGTTGACTTGAATTATGCATGTGCAGCAGAAGAACACGCCCCTCTATGGTGAAATGTCTAAAGTCTCTTACACCACTTAGCACTGTAGAGAGGCAGAGACTATTACAAACTAGTCATGACACACAAATCAAAAAGCATGACACTATCATCCATACACACGCCTGTACAGTGCTTTATTTTTCAACTGGTTTTCTGCACTGACCTTAAGCCCTGGTGCTCCGCGTTCTCCCACTGCACCAGGCAAACCTGGTTCACCCTAGAATGACAACAAATAAAGAGGCGGTGTAAAGAAAAAGAAGATGAAGATTATCAGCAATATTCCACCTAATGTCTCCTTTTCAGTTTGTAGTAGTGATGGAGAAACCTCAAAAAGGGTTCATTTTGGATAAAATCCCAAAAGTTGGGATGCTTATATACAGCTTATCAAACCTCTTGGGGCTGATGATGATATCATTTACTCCTGTATAAATCAGGAATAACTCCACCAAAGTCAGTGGAGTTACAATGGTGTCAAATTATCCTGAAAGGAGAATCAGGGTCCTTGAGTCAGCAAAATTGGCCATTATCCTCATACATCTTTCTAAGAAGATTGTTAACATGTCCTCCTTTTCTTTGCCTTGGAAATAGCACAATAACGGCCTTTTAAAAAAAAAGCTATTTTGGTACTTCTGGAAGACAGATGGGCAGAGACACGTGAAAACCCATGACAACAAATCTTAGCTTTCAAAAAGGTCCAATTCTAGAAATCTGAGTGGTTTTGGGAAGTAGGGTGTTCTTTTTATTTTTGAATATGGACTTGTTTGCCCAACTCTCATGCCCTGGAACTGAGGATGGAGAAGCAGGAGATGCCCATTCAAAGATGCCCAGGTTGGGATAACTGTAATTAGTTAATGCTCAATAGTGTTTGTTTATTGTGTAGCAGTGTAAGGTTATGAAACCCAACCACTTAAAAGCAAGGAAATGTCTGAAGTGATAGGTAAGAATGTTGTCATCTACAAACTTTAATTGTTTTTTTAAACAATTTTTTCCCCACTTTATGAATTTCCCAAGTTTTCCCCCCTATGGTAGGTAAATAAAGACCCTATTTAAATTTAATTTTTTTTATAAAATAAATGTGATGGAGAGGTCTACCAATTATTAAGGAAGTTAGTGGTGCTGGTCAAGCTAATAATGGCTCCTACAGAACCCTGCCTCATTCAATCACCTAATAAGGTATACTTGTTCCTCAGATAACCTTTAACCACATGCATGCATAGCACAGCTTACCTTCACTCAACTGTTGATCAAACATGTTCAAAAGGCATAAAGGACAAGATTTTAAAAACATATGCATAAAGTTAGTCCCTAAATCTATATTTAGGTACCTAAATAAAGTGGTCTATTTTAAGAAGTGCTGAACACAGGGAACTGAGCTGACCAAAAAATAATAATAATTAAAAAAAAACTGGGAAAATTTCTTCAGACTTTGCAGAAATATTCTCTTCTGCCTTCAGAGAAAATCTGGCAAAAACAAACCAGTTTTGCAAGCCAAAGTTAGAGGGCAATTAAAATGGAAGCTGATTGCAACCACAACTACTATGGAGAGATTCTGCTTTTCCAGAACACAATCTTCCATTGCGAGAGGCTTTTTCCATCCCTAAATGCTATGGTCAGTTATAAACCACAGCTCTAGAGTACCCATTCCTCACAGTCATGTAGCATTCTATTTCTGAACTAGATCACAAGAAAAGTGGGATATGTTATGATTATCAAGAGTTGGGTAATTTGAATAATACAAAACAAGAATGTTGAGATTCTCCCAAAAGCATTTGTGACATTAAGGAGGGAGTTTTTCCAAGCAGGGGGTGAGGAGTTAGCATCAGAGCACAATGATAGTCACAGGGAGTTATATGGCCAATTTAGGCAATTCATTGTCAATGTTCCCTGGTATTTTTAAATGGGTCCAGCTTTGGTTTGCCAGTTTTGGTTGGATGAATTCCTGGCAGTTTCATCACAGGACATAATCTTTAATTAAAGATTTATCTTTAATTCCTGGAGACTCCAGGGCAATCCTGGAGGGCTAGCAACCCTACAGCTAGCTACTGTAGCAATTAAATCTGATCTATCAGGCAGCCAGGATTTAAATTTACTGGCTATCAAACATGTGTGTCCAACAAAGGGCCAACCTTAAAGTCACTTAAAGAGAACTGTCATTTGAGACACCGAGATGGAATGAGCACTTGTATATTTACTCATTTCTCCACCGCCCCTCCAAAACACGAGTCACTGTTCATTTCTATCCCCTTCACTTTAAAACGGCTGTTGTCTGCTGACACTCGCCAAGGGCTTAAGTCTTTAATCAAAGTGTCAGGGTTCCAAGCCTCCACCTTCTTCCTAGGCCTGCACATCAATGGTATTAACACCCATAGTTACCAGTATGATAAAAGACTGCATAAGTAGAATAGAAAATTCATCTGAATTTCCTTGAAGTGAAGAGAAATGCTAAAGCTTTTATCAAGTTATATTAAATCCCTCCCAAAACAAAACTCCATCTCTGACACCCTTGTGGGGGTCTATAATTTACTCTGCCTAGGCCCTATGCTGGGTTTCCAGGATGGTCAGTACCAAGTGAGAGAGAGCTATGGGGGAAAAGGAGAAACTGAAAATATGGCTGGAGGGACAGCACATGAATAACATTGTACATTTGAATGGATTATCCTCCTCTAAATTTAATGGCCAGCATTGTAGGGATTATCTCATGTTCTGATTTTTGTAATACACACAGTACCCCCTCTTCAATTTTTCATCCTACACTTTTTCAGCAGCCCGTTTAGTTTTCTGAGAATCTTGATTGGTGAATCAGCGATGATATTGCTGATTATTCTTAGCACCATGCACATGTGAGATCTCAAAAACTTGGCAGCAAACTCAGAGCTATCAGACCTAAGTAGCTTCATAGGGCCATGTTATTCCAGGAGCCCTGCAACAACCCTATTCCCTTGCCCACGTATCTGACCTACCAGCCTAAGTGACATCCCTAATTTCCCATCCACTGTTTTAAAACATATCTTTTACTAGCATGTCCACAGAGCCCTCCAGAAGATGGGGGCGTAGAGGTACATAGTACCCTCACTCAGCTTGTTTGTATCATGGTCCTGTGCTAAACTTTCCTAAATGTTGGCCATGTACCCTAGCATAAGCAACTAGCTACATCTCTCCTGCAAGTGAGAAACTAAAGACACCCCCCCCCCCGCACCTTTTTACAGATAATAATTCATTCAAGTATTGGGGTGCTCCAAAGGCTTATCTTGCTAACCTATTCCAAAACTCTTGAGATGAACAGTGGTGTGACCACACAGGACAGGAGTGCCTTACATCAGTGGGGATAAACGCGCATATGAAAATTGTTTCACAGCCCACCAGACTGAGGGCCAGTCCTGCAAAGAACCTACTAGAAGGAAGGAAAGATAACCACAATGGTGGAAAATGGCAGAAACCTACAGTCTGGCTGTCTCTAAGGAGTATTGGGTAATGCATTATAAACAGCAGCAAAACACAAGGGAACATTGCAAGTTGCAACGGGTTTTTTTAGTGGAAAGTCAAATCTCAAAGTGGGACACTATCACACAATCCATTATGGCTTGTCTGATATCTGAATACTATGGGCCAAATTCTGTTCTTCAGTTGCATCACTGGAACTGAGGGCAAGATCTGGCCATATACGCTGATATTTTTTAACGTTTCAATTTTTCAAAGCCTTTAAAAAAAAATCCAACAACATTTTGAACACTCAGTTGATTAGGAAATTCCACAGGTAGTTATAAAAGCAAAACAGCAGCTGACATTTTAAATGCAAGTAGATTGATGGTGCTTCCTCTGCTATACCTTAAAACACAACATTATTTTGAGTGTATTGGTCCCAACTGACCATTTTAGTATTTAGGCTGAAAATAATGTTGAATGCCTTTGTTACAAAGTATGGCTTATTACTTTATATTTTTTTAACCAAAACACATTTTAAAACCATAATGTAAAACACTGCCTGGGTCTTTTTCAACCATTCGGGTAACTGTTTCAAAGAGTAACATAAAAGATTTATATCATTTTTAAGGTGGAAAAGTGGTTACACCATTTTTTAAGGAAACGAGGCACCAAAGGAAAAATTGTGCATTCAACAGTGCTATCACATGCAATAATTTCAATCAGATTGTTTTTCAATTTGCCATTGGTAAAATGAAGAAAGCTGTGAATTTCAATCTTTAATCAAAGATAATTTTACATTCACTATGCTGCAGTGGATGCATTTCCTGACTAGTGCTAGATGTTACATTGTGGAAACAGTTGTCTTCTGTATAACATTTAGCTCTATAATTTATTCAGGATTCTGGGGAGGTTCCACCCCGCAAACAGTTACTCTGTTCACAGCACATTCCAAAGTTTAGGTAATGGACCACTTTTTGTGAACTCCTGGGAAACAAAAGGCACCATCATTCTGAGGGTGCGGGAGAGTCAACAAGCAAAACCTATAATCTTTTAGTGCATAAAATATAATCCAAGCTCTTAATTAAGCTAAGAACGAGGACTGTATTGTGCCCTCATATGGGAGATGGACAGAGGGCCCAGGAAACTCTGTACAGTCACCCCTGGAGAGTTCCCGGGGATTGCAGAGGAAGCAGTGTTGCAGCCTCCTAACCCCCGTGGATCCAAGGGAATCTCCAGGTCCAGTTCCTCTGCTCTGCTTTTCTGTTCCACACCCAGCTAGATGGCTTCTTCAAAACTATGCTCCTACTGGTCACCAACACTATGCCTACCACAGAACCACCCTATCATATGCAGGAACAGCATCTTAGCGAACACTGCTTCTATTAGCAGTAACCCCTGCCTCTTGAAGTGGGTCTGCAGCTCTGTGGAGCCCACTTGACACAGTAGTTGGTAGAGAAGCTTCCACAATGTCCAGCAGCAGATGTCATGGTGATGGTAGCTTCTCTGCTACGCACACCTCCCAGCTGCTGTCAGTTTTGCTTGATCTGGTGTGCTTGCAGAAGCAATGGTGGCAATCAGGTCCACAGAAAACATGTCCCAAGACTGTAAACATGCAAATATTCCTTCTAGAGCAAAAGTGCAGTTTTAATATCCTTTAACTTTCTTTGCTTTACCTACAGTACCACTTCGTAGACTTTAAGAACACAACATTTACCTCTAAAGAAGGATCATACATTGAAAAAAAAATGTGTGACTGCTGTGACAAAGTTCCTCCTCTGCCTTGGTGGGTCCTGC